CTACTAAAAATAACAAATCACAATTGCGAAAAAATGCAAAATCACCAATATATTACAAAAACAAAAAATATACAAACATTATAATTGATTTATACAATTGGAATCAATAAACGAAAAATCCAAAAAAACTAAAAAAAAATTGGAGTCGATCAACCTTAATCGACTACCAGAACATAGTCGATTAGCTTAATCGACTATGAATATATACATAGTCGATTAAGGTTTCAGCCTGCGCGAAATTCTCTGCGAAATTCTCTACACGCACCGTTATCCGCCCAATCAACCAAAAAACTCTAAATCTGCCTCCCCATCATCACCATATCGCTGCCACAATACACTATTCAACCAATCCCTAACAAGAATAAAATAAAACAATTAAATAATTCATAAAAAAAACACAAATTAACATTTCAATGTCCAAAAAAAAAAAAACAGAAACGATTCAAGTTATTTGTCAAAACCAACATAAAAAAATAATATAAAAAAAAAAAAAAAAAAAAAAAACAAATACCTTCACCAACATCAATTGCAACAGTGATTTTCTCATGCCTCATCCTCATGGCCGTCAAGGCGTCAATCCACAGCATGGCCAGTCATCATCTTCAACGTCGTCGGTGGAAACCACCGCCGCGAACTACAGATCCATCACCACCCTTCACGCGGCGGCGGGAGGCGGTGACAAAAACTCTCCACCGCCACCACCTCCATCGGTCGATATCTTATTTTTCTTCCGAATTTCAGTCGAGAAGAGAAGAGAGAAGAGAGAAGACGAGAAGAGAGAAGACGAGAAAAGAAAAAGAGAGAACGGCAGAAGAGAGAAGACGAGAAGACGAGAAAAAAAGAAGAGAGAACGGCAATGGGTTAGGGTATTGAATAGATTTAATATTAATAAGGGTGGTTTGGGAATTATTAAATAATATTTGAGTAGGATATTAGGTGAAAGGGTTTTCTCTAATTATTTTTGAGAGAGGGTGTTTCTTAACTCATTTTCCTAGATGAGGGGGTTCTTGCTAATTATCCCTAAAATATATTGGGTGAATCTGACGATTTGAATCAAATAAGAATTTTTCCTTATAAAATTAAGGTTTTTTCCTTATAAAATTAAGGTTATTTAATATTTTTTTTAATTAATGTGCGTTAATCTAAAACAATACTTAAAGAGAAGGATAATCAAAATTATTTAATAATTTTCTTAAATAATGTGTATTTTTTTAACTTTAAACAAAAAGAAGTGGAGGGAGTATTTACTACTGAAACGAATGTATGCTTCGTTCTGTGATAAGTGTACACGTGTCAAGTCGAAGTGAAGCATGGGCCGCATGGGTGACACGTGTAGTTGTACCCTGCGCATTCACATGAAACTTTGTGTTGGGCTGAAAACTAGGATAATATACAATTGGGCCGACAAAATATATCATTGGGAGAAGCAATTATTGCAGTAATGCATTTATAATTGATTTACAGAAGAATTTATTTTTTAATTTAGAGTAAATTACACTTTCCCCTTTAATTTGTTCGATGTCACTTTACTCCCCCATACTCTCAATTGCATCGATTTGCCCTCTTGTACTCTGGCTCGATATCACTTTACCCCATTCTACTCTCAATTGCATCGATTTTCCCCCTTGTACTCAGGCTTGATATCACTTTACCCCTTCTACTATTAATTGCATCGATTTGCCCCTTGTACTTTGGCTCGATATCACTTTACCCCATTCTACTCTATCGATTTGCCCCTTGCACTTGAAAAATTGTTTCAATGTGGCCATCGACGTTAGTTTTCACACCTTTGACCTTAACACCACTTGATGTAGGTTTGAAAACTACAAAAAAACCACTCCTCTCAGTTTAGATAATTACTAAAAAAATTAATAAGGAAAAAGAAAAAAATAAATTGTGGTTGGAGTCGTGGACTATGTTTTCTCGTTGTCTAGAATTTTTTTATTATTTTATTATTTTTATTTCTTTAATTTTTTAATAATTATTTAAATTGGAAGGGATAGTTTTTTTGTAATTTTCCGACTTAGATCAAACGGTGCTCCGGCAAAGGTCTGAGAACTAATGGCAATGGCCACATTGAGATAATTTTTCAAGTACATAGGAGCAAATCGATACAATCGAAAATAGATGGGAGAAAGTGATATCAAACCAAAATACAAGGGGGCAAGTCGATGCAATTGAGAGTATGAGAGGGTAAAGTGATCAAGCCACCTGTCAATTGAAAAAAGAAAAACATTGTTAAATCAGATTTATTGGTCTGGAAGGGCAAATCCGTCATTGACAGCATATCCTGCTCTGCCTGTCGGGTATTTGCTCTGGCATTACGATCAGCCTATCTCGTAACTGGTCGACTGTGGCCATCGTTTCTCAGTTGCAGAATTCAAAGGAAAAATGAATTCCCTTTCCGCAACTGGATTCTACCCTAAATATCCAGTTCTTCACTACATAAAACGACGTCGTTCTAGCCCCAGAGCACCCGCCCTATTCTCCACCCTCAAAGCTTCCCCTCCGACTGGTAAATTTCCGATTTCTCAAATTATTTATGTCCACCTTTGAAAAACCCCATTTCATTTCATTTAATTTAATTGTTTTTTTTTTCAAATTGGAAGAAAATGGAATTTCCGGAGATGATGTTTTGCGAGCATTCCTGAAGGAAAGGAAATTAAGTGGTGATTTTATAGCAAAAATCTGTGATGAAATTTGGCTCAAGGCTGTTGTTGGAAATTCCAATTTTTTTGAAGATTCTGACGAAATTGATTCTAGCTGGAAATTTAATGCCCAACAGTTATTGGATGAGGTATACTTATTCATTTGTTTATATAATTTCTTGCGGTCTATATAATTGTGTGTGTGTGTGTGTGTGTGCAACTTAGTCTGTGTTATCGATTTAGTTTCGATTTATCCGAAAATCTACATTGTTGGGCAGGAAGAAGAAGGTGGGTTTTTGAAATTGAAAATAACCAGTGAATGGCTTTTGGGCGAAGATAGCACGGCACCAATGAACAAGAAGATGGCTGCCAAGGTTTGTATTACTCGATTTAATGAAGTCTTTCGTTAATTTACTCGAATTTGTAGGTGGGATTCGGAAATTAGCTTTTTCGTTTTAAAACCCTTGTGATAAAACCCTACTAGCTTTTTGATCTGGATGCCGATTATAATAGATAGCACGAGACGACAGCGAGAGAAGGAAAAGACTAAATTTTCTCAGATACGAAGCTGTAAGATTTCTGCAATTCGAGTTGTTCTTTGTTTAAACTGCTTTGGTAGAATTTCACACAGGGATTGATACATTGGTTGATTTTCCCGATTCTTGTTTATGTTGGAATATGGTAAATAAGGATGGAACAGATCGAATTAATTAATTAATTAATTATGTGATACCTATTATACATCTATCACTAAGTTAAAACACGGATTTTATGGTTACATAGGTAAAATGTGATCGATGTATGCATTCAATATACGCTGGAGCACCATAGTAGTTGTCTGATGTAGTGATATTCAGATGGTTTTTTATTTTTGTTTTCATTTTAAATGCAGCTGAAGAGGGAGCTGCTTCTTTTGACCGTGGCTATTGGAACTGCATGTAGTGGATACTGTCTCGTAGCTTTGTCGGTCCAGGTAATTGTTGATTTTGAGAAACAGATGGCTTTTCCGTGATTCATTTGATTCTTTCATTTTTATATTACAAATAAGGAAATTTATTTTATTTTCGAGTGTATTAATGTACTGCGTAAGTCATCCTCTCGTAAGGAGTGATTTTAGAATCTTAGATATGCTTACTTTCTTTCTATATTGGTTAGGCTGCTGTGAGCTACGCAACAGGAGTTTCTTTCAGGTAACATTTTTGACCTTTTTGTTTTTTCCCGGTTATTCCATAAATGTGCTAGGATTTAGGAAATATTTACCTTTTTCTTCCCTTCACACAAGTACGTTTAGTAAGTTTACTTCTACAGTTGCTTGTACTTTCAACTACTATGCAAATATGCGGACAATCTGTCGCGAGAAATGGTTCCAGACATTTTCACCAAAAGGAGGGCAAAAAAGTAAAACATTTTCCTCCTAGTGCTTAATTGTACTTTCTTGAATTTATTCCTTCCTTTTTTGTGCTAACTAGTGATTAAATTCTATCAGGATCGGAATAAGAAGCGAGGATCTAGAAGTTGCTTTCGAGAAAACAGTGAAGGGTATTAGTATTGCTCTTTCTTCTCCAAGGCTCGTATTTCCCGCTGCAATTTACGCTCTATGGGAACTCTCCCAACATTTCGGTCATGAAATTTTTGAATTTCAGGTTTTCCTAAATCGACCCACAAATTTTTTTTTTAATTTTTTTTTTTATAATTATAATTACCACAATCTTCTTCTTATTATTACTGCACAAGAGAAGAAAATACGTAGCGTATTTGTTTTTTGAAATTTGATTATGGTTGTTTGCAGCTAACACCAGCAATGGTTGGGCTATTTGCTTATAAAGCGGCAGCACTTGTGCAAGTCTATAGAGACAACGAAGACCTTGAATTAATCTTTCCCGAAAATTAAGTGACTAATTAAGTGCGGAATTTTTGTATAAAGAGATGATGGTGACTTCATTTTTGGCTTCGTTGGAAGGAGTTTGATTCTTCCGAGAAGACCTCGGCTAGTAGGTGAAATGACATAACTTCGATAATTTAATACTCGATCAATTAATGACCTCGTTTAAGTAATGTTTTTGGCCTTTTAATTTTCTCGTGGTTTTCAGGTTTTTACATGTACAAGAATCAAGAATGACGTATCTGCCAATTACGGAACGGAACGGAACCTTCTAGAGTTCAGACATTGTGTCTGCCATTCGAATCAACGACATCGTAGGAGTTGAAACTTAACATTAAAGTATTATATGTAAAAATCTTTCTCTGTCTAGTTTTTTTCACTTTTGCAAAATGTTTCTTCTTTTTTTTCTTGGTTCATAGTGCAGAATTTCTTGAGATGGGGATGTATGTATAGAACAGTTTTATAGCTACTTCATATTGATTCACTGTTTATTTGTTGGGGGTAAATTACAGCCACTCCATGATACGGTTAAATTACGAAAACCCCCTTCCTATTTGGGTAATTACAACCACCCTTAACTATAAATCTTCTTATACATGTATCTTTATCGTGTGAAATTTAAACATAATCTTTTAGATTTTGTGGAATGTTTTCTAGTATGTACTCGTTTTGTGTAAACTAACAATTTCTGATGCAACAATCATCTTGTTTCGAAATCTGGAACTGGAATGAAATGAAACGGGTATAAATTTAAGAATATTCTACATAATCTAGAAAGTTTCACTAAACTTGACATCGCAGTGATGGACGTGAAGAAAATTCATAATTGAGAGTGGTAGTAATTACCCAAACATGAAGAGTTTTTTTTCCGTAATTTGACCTTGTTTACCGAAAAATTTATTACAACAACTAGTTCGAACTGAATTTCTTTTAGCAAAATGAAAAATGATATATTCTTATAAGTTATAGTTTTGAGGTATTTTGACTAAATTAGACCTAGAAAATAATACAGAAAAAATAATAATAAAACCTTGTATAATTAATTAATCAAATATATCAAAATCCTGGCACTATCTGGCTGCCAGATCAAAGCCCCAAAACCTCTTTTCCAATGGCGAAACCCCAGGGTTCAGTATTGGAACCGCTGTACTCGTCAGCGATTATCCTGTTGGTTATAGTGACGGCGTGCGTCGAGCTCTGCGACGCCGTCACCGTCGTTGACGTCTACCGTCTCGTGCAGTACGATCTCGCCGGAGTGCCGTTTGGATCCCGCCTCGCTGCTCTTAACCACCACGCCGGCTCCTCCCTTTTCTCCGCCTCTGCTACCGCCGGCGCGGCTGCTGATCTCTCCCGCACTGTCCTCATCCTGCCTGTCCGCGAATTGAATCTTACATTCATTAAAGGTCGATTGATTACCTTCATTCTTCGTTCCATTTTTATTTTATCATTTGGCAGCCATTTATACTAATACACGAGGGTTTACATGTCCTATGCTGTTAGGGTTAGGTTTTTGTTCGGTTTTGATGGTGGAGTTTATTAGAATATTTGAATAATCAAGCGGGTAAAAAAGCGCTTAGTTCATCCTGGTTTCCCAAAAAAATCTGGATGTTCTGGAATTGATAGCGTCAAGATTAGTGACCAAATTGTTACTACCTTCCAATTTCGTTACATATTGATTGTTTTCCTTAAATTTTTATTAGCATATGTCCAATTCAGATTTCATATCCTTTATCATAACGGTGGTACCAATTTTTTTTTTGTTCCAATCTTATGGCAGAATATATTGGACAAACGAAGCCGTTAGGTGGATTATTGCTTCTACTTCCCCCAATTTTCAATCCCCTAAACACAGACAGTAGGGGTGAATCTTACTCTGCAAAAGACAACATCAAGGAAGTGTTAACCGAATTAGATCAGTTGCTTATACATGCAAACATTCCTGTGAGTGAAACAGATTACTCTCTCTTTTGCGCTTGCAGTCGATGTTGTTGTTTCGTACCATGAAAATTCTCCAAATGGTTTGATGGCTTATTCCGGTGATTGTTTTGTTTATTTGATCATTTTTCTTATTCCTGCCAAATATTCTCTGTTCAAGTGAAGGAACGAAGCGTTACTTTAGTTAGAGGATTCAAATATATGATCTATGATCCAAAAATGTTGTATGTTCTGTGCTTAGCTTTTGGCTTATCTTTTCGTTGGCTGCTGGTCCATAAAATCGAAGGGGTTTCAAGTTTCTTATCTTTTTTGCCTTTTAACCAGTTTTTTTTTCTGATAACGCCATATTGTGTTTCAGTATCCTGTGTACTTTGGGTTTGAGGATGACCATGTTAATACTGTGCTAGCTGATGTCAAGAAAAATGATGCTGCTGGTCAGCCTGCGACTGCGACAACTGGCGGGTTAGTTGACACTATTAAAATGAGAAGCACTCTTAATAATTATTTTCTCTGCCTATTATGGTTGTTGAATAATTCTTCTTGATTTGAGTTTCTTTTTTTGGTGGTCTTCCACTATTCATATTAGGATTTCAAAATTAAGACTAGAAAATATCTGCTCAATCTTGTTGGTTCACATTGCTTTACTCGAGAAGATTTTATTGTGCATTTTTATTTCACTATATATGCTCACATAGCCAAACATTTTATGTGGTAGAAGGACAGAGAAAAAAAAATGCCTACTTATTGTTAGGGTTAATTGAGGCGTCATTGTGGGAAGCTGTTTAAAAAAATGTGAAAAAGCTGTTATTTTCTTCATATGGTAAGCTAAATTCCCAATTATGCAAAAGCATTAAAATTTACTTTTAATTATCTGCTTTTATTGTTGCTTTCTTATTTATATTTTTTCACCCTTATGTCTCGTTAGATATGTATATCTTGTCATGCATTCTAGATCATGACTTCTGAGGCTTCATATGCTGGCTTCCAAAATTACATGAGTGTATCATGTCGCTATTTCTTGAGGTGTTATTTATCTTTTGCTTGAATCTAATAATAATTTTAGAAGCAGTTTTGCAATAATCTTATAACAGTACATGCCTCTTTCAAAATGTTTCAGATACAAGCTGGTCGTTGTTGCACGAGAACCCAAGAAAATTGCTTCTCCCACTATTTCAAATATTCAGGTTCTATTTTTTCCTTCCACTTTGTTATGGATTGACTAGAGTAATCCTATTGTTGGAAGTCCTCAATATTTGGTGAATTTTGAGGGCATAATTTGATTGAATATTTGAGCTACCTGTATGAGCTCAATAAATACCATCTTACTGTTTCTAAACTTTATCATAATTCTTTTAAATCTTCTCCCATGTCAGGGTTGGCTGCCAGGATTGAAAGCTGATGGAGATTCAAATCAACTTCCTACCATAGCTGTAGTGGCATCATATGACACGTTTGGGGCTGCACCAGTTAATATATAACTTACTTAATTTTAATTATATTATTTGTAGGCCAGGATCTTATGCCATCTCAATGCTAACAGGCATTGTCTGTGGGAAGTGATAGCAGTGGAAGTGGTGTTGTGGCACTTCTAGAAATAGCTAGATTGTTTTCAATTTTATATTCAAATCCAAAGACAAGAGGAAGCTATAATTTACTCTTTGCGCTGACATCTGGAGGACCTTATAACTACAATGGGACAAATAAGGTGCACTTATCCCCTCAAAAGACTTTTTCCTCCTTTTTATGCACTTCTGCGATGAGTGTCGTGACATGATTTTGACATTCTGCTTCCTGTTATAGTGGCTCCGTAGTTTAGACCAACGTGTGCGTGAGACTATTGATTATTCTATTTGCTTAAATAGCATTGGCTCAATCAGCAATGAGTTATGGATTCATGTGTCCAAGCCTCCGGACAATGTCTACATAAAGCAAATTTTTGAGGTTAGCCCTAATAGGCCTTTTTGCAATGAAGAATCATGGTTGTCGTAAGAAAGCTCTTATCCGCTCCATTCCTTACAAGTCGACTTTTGCAGGGTTTCTCTAGCGTGTCCGAAGAAATGGGTATCAAAGTTGGATTGAAGCACAAGAAAATTAACATTTCTAATCCTCGAGTAAGTAATATATTGGATATAAATTTGAGAATAGAAAGAGGAGCTTCTTGTTTAATATTGATTTTTGTTTGGTCTGTTGAAATTTTCTAGGTGGCATGGGAGCACGAACAATTTTCAAGGCAGAGAGTCACAGCAGCAACACTATCAGAGCTTTCAGTTGCTCCAGATTTTCTAGAAAGTACTGGAGGTCTGTCAGATAGCAGGTTGTAATTCAAGGAATGGAGGACACACTTTTTTTTAATTTTTTTTATGAGTACCTTCACTTTCTTTCATGGATAATCATGTCCTCAATCATGGTCTCTCTGCAGACATTTTGTTAATGAAGCTTCAATAAGTCGAAGTGTCAAGTTAGTAGCTGAAAGTCTTGCAGTAAGACCTTCTAGCTCTTAACTTTTACCAGAACTCTGATTTGGTTTGGATGTACTCGTAAAATATCATCTATTTTTCTAACACAAGTTTCTTTCTTGCAAACAGAGGCATATTTATGGCCAGGAGGGAAAAAGCATTGACATATTTGCAGATGATAGTAGTTTATCAATAAATCCTTCTTATATACGTTCATGGTTGCAATTTTTGTCAGCAACACCTCGAGTGGCTCCATTTCTTTCCAAGAATGATCCTCTTATCACGGCGCTGAAAAAGGTATGTTTTGCATGACTTGATTTTGTGTTGCTTCTTATCCTCAAATAGATTCTCTTTTGTGTTGTGATTCAAGAGTATTTGTGAAGTCCAGCCACGAATTCACCTAAAAAGATCCACTAGCTATATATTGGAGTGTGAAAAACTATTATAATTTTTTTTGAACATTTCAGCGATTTTTAGCAAAAAAATGTGTGCTTTAATGTACAATTTTTTGTGATTTTGCTCGACTATTAAAAAATTAGTGAAATAATCTTCTTTTTTTGACAAAATGTGAAATAATCAGTAGATGAACATTTATGTACTACTTATGAATAAATATCTTCTATACATTATATTTAAGTTTTAGAAAATGCTGAAAATAGATATGACAATTTCAGGTATTTTTAATAAAAGGGTATGCTATATAGTATACGTTTTTTTCGTCATTTTTCTTCACTATTGAAAAATAGTTCGCCAAATTTTAGATGAACTAGTTCTTGAGTACTTATGGATAAACATCTTTTATACTATATATCTGAGTGTTTCAAAAATATTAAAAATGTATTTGAACATTTCAACGATTTTAGCAAAAAAACGTGTGGTATATAGGTATACGTTTTTTTTGCGATTTATGCTCGACCATTAAAAACTTAGTGAAAAATGTAGATGGACAAATTATTTCCTACTTATGAAAAAAATCTTCTATACTGAATATTTGAGTGTTAAAAAACATTAAAAAAATATTTAACAATCTTACTATAG